TAGCTGCTGCAGTCCTCCTATTATGGTGAAAATCTCTCTTCACCTATTTTCAGCTCTGCAATCTTCACTCTTCTCCTTTTGGATGATTTGAAAAATGCAGGAGCAGCTGCGTCTGCCAAAGTTCCATGTGGAATAGCAATTTCCTATGGTGGAAAAATACGCTCTGCACAGTAATTACTGTAAGTCAAGTCCATTTAATCTGCACAAGGGCTCTTATTATCTTATGCAGTTTGGGAGGATTTGGGAGGCCTAGTCTCCAAAGTTTGTAGGATAGCAATCTTACAGATGTTAGAGGTGTGACACATGGTAGATATATATCTATCTATATAATATCATATATTGGGTAGCAGAGTTTTTGGCATCATAGGCACACCAATATAAAGATGGAATATGGACTCCAGTTTCTCATGAATAAGTCTAGCTAAGAGGTAGACATGGGATAATCATTATATAGCTTTCTTATTTCCCTTTATTAACTTTGCCCTACATACCTTCTTGAATCCCTAAGCTTATCCCCCCCGCCCCCCCCCCGTGGTTTGTGTAGAAGCACATAAGATTGCAGCAGGTACCCTTTTTTCACTATTTTATATTTATTTTTCAGATCTTTCACCTGAGACACAAAAAGAGAGACTTAAAATGGTTTTCTGTGAAGAGAGCCACACCATGGCTTTAAAATTAGAGTTAGATCTGTAAACTCTATCAAATTGTAAGCTCAGCCTAACTTTTCTTCTTCCATCCTTTCAGTTTTCAGTCAACTAGTTAGTTCATGTCCAAAAGCAGTTTTATGTTGTTCTTGTACTGTTGCAGCCACTGCTATTGTTTCAGGACTGAATCTGGCAGAGGAAAGGAGCCTGTGATGCTTGGGCACCTGTAAAAACACCTACCACAAAACTGTAGAATTGTATATATTTTAGTTTAAAAAATTTGCCCTTTAACATTATTAATAGGAGGCTCCCCTAATTGGCTGTGCTAAAGTTTGGACATTTCTTTACGACTTTTATTTTCCTCCAATTTTATTTATATGTTTATGTGAGCTAAAATCTCTGTGTGTATATTAGTTCTTTATTTCAATCTTGCCATAATTTTCCCAACTGTGGTTTCATATTTTGCAGAGATCCTAGTGGTCCCTAGACCACAATTCGAAAAACACTGCTTGGAAAATATTTAGTCTTCAGTTCTTGTTTTGGTCTTTTTATGGCATTAGAAAATTGATGAGTCCAAATTCATCGACTTAAGTCTTTTGGGAGCTGGACTGTTTCCTATGAAGAATGTTGCCTGGTGCAACTCAAAGTAGGGTTGAGGACAGCTCTTGAGGACAATATATTCGTACAAAAATCAGAAAAATACTTAAATTTGTTTCAAAATCCTCCACTGTCTTGTCCAGCTTGTGATTTTCCGCCTGACAGAGGCATGTAAATCCGGCTTGCAAATTCTGTGAGACCCTTACATATTCAGGTAGGTCCAGATATGCTGACTGTAGTTCTCTATCTTTAGTTCACACTTGCCTGAGTCACTACCTTCCAAGTCCCTGTGGCTGCCCAGCCCAGTTCCGTAAGAGCATTTCACCTGCTCGGGTTTTGTCCTTTCCTTGTAGCCAATCCTATGGAATCAAAAAACTCTATGTCAGGAATCCTAGGCAGTGCTTTCTTATTTCCCTTTTGATTTCATACAAAGGGACATGAAACAGATTATTATCATCCACAAGGTCAAACCATAAACTCACAGTGAAGCAGTAGAAGATGCCATGTTTAGCTATCAATGATCAAAATTACAATAATATTTCTAGGTAAGGTGTTCCTGCTGTGAAGGAAGCAGGAAAACTTCTTTGGAGTCTTTTACCTCTAAGCAGGCATTAATTTGTACGTTGTCCAAAATGTACCTTCTAGCTATTACTTCAAAACACCCAACATATTAGCAAATCTTCATTTATGCTTCAGTGATTCCTCAGAAGAATTCTCCAACTGCTCTGCTACAGTTCTCTGGATAATGACCTTTCCTACCAGATGAGAATACTTGACCAAAAAAGTTACTGTACCACATGACCAATGTGAATATTAACTGATCAGATCCAATTTTTAAAAAGCATGTATTTTTTTAAACAATTTGAGGTTGATCTTGAAAAAGATTTTGTGTCTAGAGCTTCCCATTTAATTTATTATTTATTACACAGAATCACAGAATCACAAGGGTTGGAAGGGACCTCGGGAGATCATCTAGTCCAACCCCCCTGCTAAGGCAGGCTCTCCTAGAGCATTCTACACAGGACTTCATCCAGGCGGGCCTTGAATATCTCCAGAGAAGGAGACTCCACAACCTCCCTGGGCAGCCTGTTCCAGTGCTCCGTCACCCTCAAAGGAAAGAAGTTTTTCCTCATATTCAACTGAGACCTCTTATGTTTCAGTTTGCACCCATTGCCCCTAGTCCTGTCGCTGGACACCACTGCAAACAGACTGCTTCCATCCTCGTGACTTCCGCCCTTAAGATATTTGTATGTGTTGATAAGGTCCCCTCTCAGTCTTCTCTTCTTCAGGCTGAACAAGCCCAACTCTCTCAGCCTTTCCTCGTAGGGGAGGTGCTCCAGTCCCTTTATCATCCTAGTTGCCCTCCTCTGGACTCTTTCTAGGAGTTCCTCATCTTTCTTGAACTGGGGAGCCCAGAACTGGACACAGTACTCCAGGTGGGGTCTCACCAGGGCAGAGTAGAGGGGGAGGATAACCTCCCTCGACCTGCTGGCCACACTCCTCTTAATGCACCCCAGGATACCATTGGCCTTCTTGGCAACAAGGGCACATTGCTGGCTCATGGTCAGCTTGTTGTCTACCAGGACTCCCAGGTCCCTCTCAGCAGAGCTGCTTTCCAGCAGGTCAGCCCCCAGCCTGTACTGGTACATGGGGTTTGACCTCCCCAGGTGCAGCACTCGACACTTGCCCTTGTTGAACTTCATCAGGTTCCTCTCCGCCCAGCTCTCCAGTCTGTCCAGGTCCCGCTGAATGGCAGCGCAGCCTTCCAGTGTATCAGCCACTCCTCCCAGTTTTGTGTCATCAGCAAACTTGCTGATGGTACACTCCGTCCCCTCGTCCAGGTCATTGATGAACAAAATGTCTCCCTCCTACACAAGGGTAATATTAGTTGATCAAAATGGTCTTGCAGCATGTTACTCCAAATTAGACTTTTTAAAGCTCAAAAGAAGCACACGTTTCATGTAGAAATATCCAGAAATATCCACAATGCATCTGTTCAGCATACTGTGCTTTGTAAGTATTACTCTTAAAAAAGAAAAGAAAACCCTAGAAATAAAGGCAATTGCTTATGTCAGCAATTTCAAAATCAAATATTGTCTTAGAAGTACTGTGGATGGAAAACAGTTGCTTGGTACTGCACGATTAGCCCACTGAGGTTAATTAGTGAGCTGTTCAGGTTTTGCAGGAGCCAAGAGCAATGAGAGGTAATCCAAAGTTTGGATTGAATTATTCTGTCTCTTGTTGGGACTTGCAAATGGAGTTTACAAATTTCCAACCATGCAGAGAGTGGTATGGGGTTTTTTTTCTTTAGAAAATCGCTGTTTGGAAACAATTTCAGCAATACGTTACAATGCGATGTTATAGTCATGAGCTACCAAGCTAACATTGGTAAGTGATCCTTCACAAGTCAAGAGCTGGATATTTAATGGCCCACTTCTGGGATTCTCATTTTGCTCTGGGTTTAGTTTCTAAGTTAGGGTCCATTTTCCAGGCCTGCAGCCCTTTTGACTCGTGTCCTGTGGATGTCTGTGTTAAGAGAGATTCACCATGTATGCCCTCAAAGTATATGAAAGGTCTCTCTGTAGGTGGCATGCGTAGGGCAGATTATTGCTTATAACTCATGGGGAAGGCATGGAGAGGGTGCTGTTGAGTGGGTCTATACACACTACCCATCAGGGTGCTTCGGCATGGAGGGCATGCAGGTCCTACAGGGAGGCACTGATCTGTTGCTGAGCAGTGAGAAATTCCCAGGTGCTGCCAGGCAGGAGAGCTGAGAAGCGGCTTGCTGGGATAGTGCGTGCTGGGAGGAGGGAAATACAGAGTCTGTTCCTAGCCCTGACCTTGGTGTAGGATGTCCAGTGGCCACCCTTGTAACTCTCTTTCCTGCCTCATCCCTCTGGTGTCTTCTGCATAATGTTTTTTGGTTTGCAATTGCCTTTTGATAGGTGTTTACCCAGAGCTTCTAATTGGAAGTGTAAGTTTCGGCTGAGCTGTAGAGTTAGAAACCACCTTGTCTTGCCTGTACACCACTGTTAATCAAGTATTGAGGGGAGGGAGAGGCTTAAGCAGAGGAGCCTGGCTTGGATATTTTTCTTCAATCTTGTTCTGTTCTCATAGCATTGCGTTTGGTTCCCAACACACCTATGATGAAAAGAGATCATGAGATAACTGCAGTACAGACTGGTGGTGTGTATGAAAAGATAAAGAAATGTTGAACGATATCTTTTCGTTACTTCATATACTTAGTATTAACATATATGCAAGCAACTGGGTCTTTACCTTGGCTGAGCTCCTGCCCTGGAAGACATGCCTGCTGTCTGTCACTACTGGTGGGCCTGAGAGTCACTGAATTGGAGGTTTGTGTTCTTATGAATGAAAAATGTGCAAACAAATAGCAATATGCTTTACTCAATCTCTGCTTTATCAGATTGCTTCTGACCTCACCTGAACTGCTACCTTTGCCAGAACTGAAACTGCACGTGTGAGAGGAGACAGACTTAAACCAGTGGTGCATTAAATCAAACATTAATAGTATGTGTGCAAAGAATTATCAAAAGGACTGGTAAATCACGTGTTCAGAGAGGCCTTACACACTTAGGACAAAGAATTTCTCGGTGTTTTCAGAGCAAGAAATGAGGCCTTTTTGTTGTTCTCCAGGAGGCGAATAGCACCAAGGTGTGTGTTGGCAGTTTGCTTGCTCCGGACTGTAAAAGAATGCTCGGTTTGCAAAATTTTCATCCCTTCTATTTTATTCCCCAGTTATGAATTCCACGTGAAACCTAGAAACCCTCTTGGTGAAGGTCCAAGTAGCAATGTTGTGGCATTCAGTACTGAATCAGGTAAGAAGTTCCAAAGGTCTGGCCCTCATCTACAGTGCCTCTAGGATCCATGTTTGTGGGATATATGAAAGGCTCTCTTGCTTCATCTTGCAAATTTGGTCTTGGTCTTTACTAGCCAGGTTGGCTTTTTACTGCTGAGCATGTTACGGTAGTGCCTGGAAGGTCAGCCTGGGATCAGGGCTATATTGCATGAGGATGTAAGATAGCCAAGACTGCAGGAGAAAAAAACAGGAGCACAGAGAGTTTGTCTGGTGTACATTATGAAGAAATGAACTTTATCCGTAGAGAAGGCTCAGTCATTTAAGATTAATATTCCTGACCTTTTTGTATCTTATCAGTCTCATTAATGACTTCTGGATGGGGAACATGAAGTTTTTCTTTGGGCTGGCGTGTTTATAGGCACTTTTGCTACCTGTTCAGTAAGGCTGCTGTATAATAGTGATGTCTTTTGGCTGAAATAAGGGTTGAGAAATAGCAGTTGGGAAAAGTCAATGTCCCAGTATGCCCTCTTCCATCCTGCTTACTCTCCTGTGAAACCGTTACAGAGGTGTATGCAAGCCTACTTTGACCATTGGTTGGTTCCCCAGTTAAGTCCCGTCTGACTCAAAGGTGAGAATCAGAGAGTGCCTCTGCTTTCCCTAGTCCTGTTCCCCATGAGGCTAACTACAGTTGACTTGTTGACTTTATACAAGCAAGATACCATCTTTTGTGTAGAAGTGTTTATTGCTTGATAGTACTTAAGGACCATATAAAAAACCAAATGGATTTAGCCTTTTTAAGAGGACTTTCTCAAGCTGCATTTTGAGCCAGGTGTAATAATATAATAATCCTCATCTAGTGCTGTTGCTGATGGATGAGAGTTTTGGCTGAGCAAGGGATTAGTCAGGGAGGAGTTCAGACTATGCCACACACATTTAAAAACTGTGAATACACTCTTTGTAATCCTAGATTGTTAAAACCGAAAAAAAAAATGTTTATGCCAAGTGCACTTTTCATGAATGACAAGGCTTGTGTTCTGTCTCCTATTTAGCTTGGACAAATTAAGCAGTCAGTTTTATTTTTTCTTAATTGCACACATCCATTTCTCACTTTTGGGCTTTCATAGCCAAGTTTTGTGTGGCAAGAGGGGTCCTTTTTTTTATTTATGTTTTGAAATAGAAATTTTTAAAAAGAGGCAGTAGAATTGGGTTTTGCTGGTTATAGTTTTTACTAGAACTGTATTTGACTGGTATTGTCCTGTAAGTAGAATTTTTAAAAGCTCTTTGATACTGTAGTTTCACATAAGAAATGTGTTTCTTTTAATTTAATTTAATACAAAAGTGAACTTTGCTTCCAAAACTCTTTCTGTTTCACAAATTACAGCTTATGTCAACCGTAGAAAATCACTTACCAATGCTTTTCCATTGAAATATTGGGAAAGTTCATTTTACAGTGTCTGATTGAATGTTTGTTTTCTTTCCGCAGCGGACCCCAGAGTGAGCGAGCCGATTTCAAGTAAGCCTTTTATCTACAGTATAGTGTCCTCAGATCGGGAATCTTTTCAGAAATTAGATGGCGTAATTTTACAAGGGGGGTGGCTGTACTGAGCCAGTGCAATGAGTTATGGAATCAAACAGCATTCACACATGATTTCACTCCTTCCACCCATACCCCTGGTAAGGAATTCATGCCAGGCTGCTTGTTTACCTGAGCGGAACGCAATCAACGTGATGCGGTGCTCCCATGGCAGCTGGGATGGCTTCAAACCAATGTACACAAATGAGCCAAGGACAGCCTCATATTTTCTCAGCCTTGTCATTAAAGCAAAAGAAAGCTCTGTAAAATGAATAAGTTACTCCACACTTCTTAAGTGAGTTAACAGAGCTCATCTCAGAGGATACTATTTATCTCCCATTGTGTTTTAGAACGACTTTCTGCTTCTGAAGGCTTGATCCAGATCTGCTTTAGGCCACTTGATTGCTTTAGGCTACTTACAGGACTCTTGCCGTCTTCAGTGGGAGGTGGACTGAGCTTTTGAAGAACAGATGAGAGCGCTCAAGCAAACTGGGCTGCTTTTTTCATTTGTAGTGGATGTCACTTTGACAAACACTGAGACACCGTTTCTTTCCACATAATCCATGTCACTTAATTTTTGTGTGTATTTTTGTTAAATCACATACAGTTTGCTGCAAGTTGACTGTCCTGGCTTGAACCCATTGAAAAACAGTGACTGTATCACACACTTTGTAAACGAGAGTTTTGCCAACACACAGACACTGCCCCCCTAAAAAGCTCCTAGAATGAGCTTATTCCGAACTGGCACCAAACAACAGAGAGCAGAAGCAGTTCACTGCATCAGTCGTATCTGCAGCCCTTGGTGCTTCCCTGAAATATCTTTCACGTTCAAAATGCAGGTGACCGGTGCCATGGTACATTCTGTTCCATCGAGGTTCCTAATTCTGTTTATTTGAATATATTTGTTGTACATAATTTTGTATGCAACATCATACTTCAGCCTCTTTCTTCCTCTCCTGCAGTGGGAAAGGATGCTATCTGGACTGAAATCCCATTCAGTTCGGACACCTATTCAGAATGCAAAGGGAAACAATATGTAAAGAGGACTTGGTATAAGAAGTTTGTAGGTGTGCAGCTGTGCAATTCTTTGAGATACAAGATATACCTCAGTGATTCACTTACAGGTAAGAGACATTCATACCAGTGTTGTCCACATTATACACACCTTAAAGATATCATGGTTCCAGAACTAAGAGGTTTAACAAGACGAGCTCTGCTGAAGTGGGAGTGGGTATGTTTAATCTAGTCCATAGAGAGATTAATCATAAACAGTAACCTGCTTGTGCTCAGTAATCACTGATGTGTTTGATCCTGAATTTTCAGACTCAAGAGTTATTTCTCTGTGGTGGTCATCTGATTTTAAGTACCTATTCATATCCTGGGGATCTCTGCCAGTGAATAGCATATATTGTAAAGGTGCCAAATTTGTATTTAAAGGGTAACCTGGAATAGTTTTTAGTTAGAGGATTAGGACCCAATTTTAGACCAGGATTAGACTCAATCATTCCCATCCCATTTGGTAAACATGTGGTTACTTCATTACTGTGAGGCTTATAACTACGTGACTTCAACTCTAGTCAACGGGTTTTACTCACCTGCTTTGACACTTTTGTTTTTGCATTCCCCATTTTTGCTTATAATCTCTTCCCCCCCTTCTTTTTCTTATATTTAATCTTATTACTAACAGCAGCCTCCTGGCCTTATCTTCTCAAGTTTTGTTCAGTGTCTTAAGGTCACTGAAGTGTGATGTATTTAAGACCTGAATCAAGTGACACATGCTGTGTGTAAGCAGGGGAAACAGCCTGTAAAATGTGTTTTTCAGTTAGTTCATAGTTATGCTGAACTTTGTGCCTCATGTAGATCATACAAGCCATGCTTAGAAATATGTTAAAACTTTTTATAATCCATCCTAAGATCCTGGCTTTCCTCTGTATGAGGTCTTTTGTCAGAGCTGCATGGATAACTCTATCGCAATGGCGTTAGTATAGCACCAAGAACACAAAGAGCATAACGCAGCTGTGTATGGGAAACGTCTTCCGAGTGCAAGTTAGGCGGGTACGTTCATCACATTGGGCTGAATTATCTAGGAGAAACTGCAGCTGAAAGAATCAACTTTCACAACCCAAAGCTGCCCCATCTCAGAGCTCAGCACCTCGCAGGAGCAGGGCTCTGGTCTCTGTATGTAGGAACATGGAGAGGAAAGAGCAGGGGAGCACAGGGCAGCCCATGCCAACGTAATTTTAAGCTGCCCGGCCTCGCACATGGCGCCATTCTCCCATGAGCAGACAAGGAAGGAAAGCCCTGTCGTTAATAGTAAGTACAATACTTCATACGTAAATAATAGCTTGGCAATCGTGTGAATAAAAGAGACTATTTTGAACAGAGGTATCATTCATTCAACTGCTGCTGTACTAACGGGCTGTGATCAAATGACAAACACTGGCAATGAGGCATGGCGTATCCCAAAACCAGCCAGTAGAGGAAATAGCAGTGCTAATCTAGCAGGGCTAGACTGCAACCCTAAATCAAGTGAATTAGCACTGCAGTGAAAGCTACCTCAATCTTAGGAGAAAAGTTCAATACATCAGGAGCCCATTTTCCTATTTTCATTAGATTGTTTTTGTTCTCGCTGGAAAGGTGGTGATTTAACTTGGCTGGAGAAAGACGACGGTAGCCACATTGTATTCATTATACTCGCTAAGCCTGGTTCTCGCGCTTGAATTGTTGCAACCAGTGCTGACCGGTTGTCACAATATTTGAAAGAATTGAAATATTTGTGTAGAAGGAAAGCTGCTTTTCCCCCGTTTCCTGAGTGAGACTGTCGTGGCTCGGGCCTCTATAGGCGAGCGAGAAAGTTTCCAATTGGAAGCCAAATTCTGTTCCAGCCTGTTTGACTGCCACACCTTGTCTCACCGTGCCCCCGAGGGCAGTGGAAGTGTTACCTGCTACCACCAGCCAGCCGGGCAACGTGTGCTGGCAGTGAAAGGCTGCGCCAGGGTCTGAGGTCCACCTCACGCTGAAAATGCCCTCCGAAGCTTTGCTGGCTGAGCAGCGTAATGGTCTTGCACTTTGGGTGCATTGTACAAATGCTGTTGTATAAGGCGGCCAACAACCATGTCTTTGCGTGCTGGTTTTTAGCATAAATTTTTATGTCTAGTGTTGCAGAATTCACAACGTATAAAACAAAGATGGTATCTGCTTTTCTTAAGACCACCCATAAGGAAACACTGCAGGAAAAAAAAATTACTTTATGGTAGAATTGCTATCCCCAGAAGAGAAAGATTAATCTGCTCATTCGCTAGCTACATGTTTTTAAGTGTGTTCCTTTATTATGGGAAGAATTGGGCAGTAAGAATTTAACAGTCACTGAGAATGCTGCTAATTTATGTATAGCAATTGTTTGAATTATGCATCGGTTACGCTGTGGGCCGGGAGAGTATGTGTGCATCTGCAAGTTACTGTTCTTGTGTTAGCCATAAAAATATCTGGTTTATTCTGTCTCTCATGAAGAAAAGCTGATCTATGTTACACATGCCAGGACTGTTCTATAAACCAGCATCTACTGCTGACCTCATTTAACAGTCCTCCAGAGCAGTCGCTGTAGGCATTCCAAAAAAGCAGGCCACCTAAAAAAACGTATTTATTGAGGGGAGGAAAAAAATAAATTCTCAGTGTGACCTTCAACAGCTATGGAAAAAAAAAAAAGCGCCGTTTTGGGCAGCCTGAATGTTCTTAACTTCAGACCAAAAAATTGCTGAGAGGAACTCCCTCTGACCAGTTCTCCTATGGAAAAAACATTCCTGCAGCCAAAACTAGAGAGTAATAAATAATTTTCTAAAGCTAGAGAAGAACTGCATGCGCAGAGGCCATCAACTGGAGGTGAGAATTTTTGGCAAAGTATTGATCAGATCACAAAAATATGAGAGAGTTTATAGGTAGGCTGCTCTTTTATTAATTGCACCTTCAGGAGCAGTATTACAAGCCACTCCACCATCTCCCAAATGGAGCAGATGCAAGGCTACAGGACACCCAGCACCTAGTGAGCAACCGGACTTTCTGCTTAGCTCATACCTGCGTACGGAGCCTATTTCTGAATGCTCTCACCTTCCATTTCAACCTCACAACCAAAGGTTGAACAAATTAAGAACAAGAGCTGTGAAAGCAGTTTAGAAAAAAACAGTAAGTTTATCTGAAAATGTTTCCTGCCGAGGCTTGGGAAGAGAACGTAGCATGCTTTCCTCCATCTTCTGAACTGAATTTTACTCATGTCTTGCAAACCAGATCAGTAAGTGAAAACCTCTTGCTGTCAAAACTCTTTCACTGCGAGTCCTCTTGTTAACAGGGTAGGCACAGCCCGTAGCGTCAGCACACGCTGCACGGGGCGCTTGAGACCTTGTTTTCTACTCCGCTGCAGTCAAGCATCTGGTTAAGTGATCCTGCAAATAAACACCAGGGCACACCTCATGCTCTGGGTGAGCAGTTGCTACACCGAGGTCATCTATTTGTTAAAGGATATCCCCTGCACACGCCTGTTGTAAAAATATGAAGAGTTATAAAACAGGCCTTGGCTGTGTTACGAGGTGGGCTACCAAAATATCTTTGAAGGTACTGGGGGCTTCCAGGTGGGGAAGCAGCCCTGCATTCCATACCAGTCATGAGCAAAACCTGCCTCTCTTTTGATACAGTCAGGATGAGGTTCTAGGTAGCAACAGAATTTCACTCTACTGTGTGAAATATAAGGAGGGGAAAAAAATACATCCAGGCACAGGTTTTGGCCAGGAATTGAGGCACTTTTTTCTACAGCCATGAGTGCTGTGCTTGGAGTATGCACACAATGTTCAAATTACAGCTACGGATCCTGAGAGGAAAAGAATCGTAGCATTCACCTTGGCTTCCCTACAGAGTGAAGAGCACAGCCCATTGCCTCTGGTGGCTTTTGGAAATAGCCCTCGCTAAACTGGATATGGGTTTTCAACTTTGCTGCTGCTTTGCTTTCAGGAAAATTTTATAACATAGGAGACCAGCGAGGCCACGGAGAAGATCACTGCCAATTCGTAGACTCGTTCTTAGATGGAAGGACAGGACAGCAAGAAGATCTACCGGTCAAAGATGGTAATTCCTTACGCCGCTCTCTGTAGCAAACCTTAGCAATCCCTTTGCTTGCATGTTTCTTTTTCCTGGCAGTGGATTTAGCGCCCGCTGCTGAGGTGGGCGATGGAGAGGGACTGCCGGCTTTGCAGGCAGAAGAGAGTCGAGAAGTTTTTGATGATGAGCAATGACTTTAATTAAAAGAAGGTTGTGACTCGGGTTCTCTTAGGTAGTAAACAGCCTCTCTCCTGTTAAGAACATTCCAACAGATTATTCACAGTGGGTATTACATATTTAAAGCCAACCACCAATTTGTGTTTGCAGAGAGGCATGAAGTGTTATGTTCAAACTAGCAAGGTTGATTTAAAGTGCAGTAAATCATCAGCTGGGCATTAAACAGCTTTGTTTAGTGCTAATGTGAAACTAGAAAGTTATTACTGGAAAATATAATTCACGCTGCAGTAATTCCGTGTGCACTAATTTGAACCGGGTGCCTAAAATTCCAGTCTGGTCTAAGTAGGCATGGGACTAGCCGTCCTAAACGCAGCTGCGACCTGCCTGGCTGCTTTTCCCGTGCTGCTCAGGTAGGAGCATAAGAAAATCGTATTTCTGTCGGCCGGATGCCTGCCTTGCTTGTTCGCAGCAGTGCCAGTGTGAGCTGTTCCGTTCCCTTGTGGGGTACTGGCCCACGCTGAGGGTGTCCTGGAGCGTTTTACTGAGAAAAATACCAGAACAGTTCTCAGTGCAATGTCAGTGAGTCGACCAAACCTCCCTGTGTGTGGTGCTGCTTATAAAACACCTTACAGCGGTACGGAAATGCTTTGCGGTAGGTGGGGGAGATTAAAGTGAAGTGGTGCCTAAATCTTTCCCAAGTGTTTCTGAAAACAAAGTGTGTGAACAATCTGAAAGGTGTTTGCTTATGTGATTTTCTTTTTTTGTTTTTAAGAGGGCTTTGCTTGTCCTTTCCCAGTGTTGCCCATTTGCAAAGGTATTTTGTTTGTGTAAGGGATTGTCTGAATCCAGTTTGGCGTTGCCAGGACAGCAGACCTCTCAGTTGTACCAGATTAACTTTTTTAAAAAAGATTTTATAAATAATAATAATAATAAAAAAAATCCTTTTACGTAAAAGCTCACTACCCCAACTTAAACCACATTTAAAACCGTTTTCAGTGACTGAGTTTAATTGAGTGGATTCATGAGCTACATTCATTTTTAGGAAAAAAAAAACCCAAACCACAACAAAACCCCCCACCCCAACAAAACAAACAAACAAACAAAAAAAAAGCCCCCACCTTTTCTTTAGCTTGCATTTCTGGTAAAGGAATGGAACAGGGGAAAGAACAGACAGAGCCCTTGGCCGTTGCTGCTCGGTTCCTCCCTGGCTGCAGCAAGCCGAGTTCTGTTCAAACCAGAATTAACTTCATGTCTTTGACCTGCAGTGCAGGGAGGGTGTCATGACTGCTGTTGCGTGTTGGTTGCACAATATTGTGTGTGTGTGTGTGTGTGCGCATCTGTGTGCGCACACACGCGTGCTTTAGCCACACATACTTTTCCAACGATAGGGTTGGCTTCAGCATTAATGGCTCGCTTTCATTTTTAACTTAACGTTAATTGTTTGAATGGGAAGCCCATGCACTGTCATACAGAACAGATTGAAAGCAGGAGCTGGGATCCTTGGCTTGGGGAGGGGGCGGTGGCATGAAACAGCCCGGTCAAGTTTTATTTAGGCTCACTGGAGCGTTAAGGCTGACTGGTGGGGACCGGGTGATCCTTGTAACTTTGCAAGGAGGCGCAGCCTCAGGTTGAGAGAAGACCCCCGGCAGCAGCTGGAAGTGGGGGGAAGGAGGTGGCCCTGGCCCTTGGTCAGGGAACAGACCCGGTCTTTGTGGCAGACGGGTTGGCAACTTGGTGACTCGCGTAGCCACCAACTGAGCCGTACGCAGCCTTGACAGGGCCGTCGGGGGAAGGCACCGTCAGAGGGCTTCGTGCAAAAGCACCTCCTGCTCTCTTCCAGGGTTTTTCAGGGCAGTTCGTCAGGAGCCTGTCAAATTTGGAAAAATAGGCGGGGAGACTCACATTAACTACGTTCGCTGGTACGAGTGTGGAACGTCGATACCTGGGAAATGGTAGCTGCGACATGAACGTGCTGAAAAGGCCCAGCACCCGCCAACCCCCGTCCGGCCGCCCAGCGCAGGCTCAAAGATGGAAATGTTTATGGGATGCCTGGCACGTAAATAAGTTTGCTGATGTGCAAGGGCTTATACAAGTCTAACGCCAATACTGCATTAATTGTGTAATAGCGTAGGCTGCTTACTGTAGTTATCCAGTTTTACAAATTTGTTTTTAGATTTTAAAAAAAAAAAAAAAAAAATTCCAAACGGGCTAGGGACACGTTTGTAGGATAACGTATAGGGAAGCTGGCTCCCTATTCTTGAGGTATGGTTTATATGGTATTTTAAAAGATACGGTGTGTATATTATTTATCGATCACAATGTTGTAATAAATGTTTAAGGCACGGTTACGGCAGAGTTGGTCATGGAATGCAATGTGTGTTAGTGTTTAAATATTCACTGGTCTTCTTATAACCTAAGTGCCATAAGCTACCTGTCCCGTTGGATCTGTAATGCCTCCCCAGTCATAAATTATGGAAAAGACCCTACAGTTTTTAATATCCTGCAACCAGTAAACTTGAAGCGCTTTCTCCTTAGGTGTACAAACAGTTTATATTCCCGCCGACACGCTGAGGTAGGTTGCTACGCGTCCAGCTTGAAAGGATCAGGTCCGTGGGTTTGGTTCCCTGTCCCCCCCCCATGTTTGTTTTCAAATTTTTCTGCTCCAGCAAAAGCGTGTGTCCAGCCTACGGCTGCCGCGCTAGAGCCGCCGCCCCTGGGCTTGGCAGTGCTGGGTTTGGGTTCCTCCAGTTAAAGCAGACCAGTCCATGTGTACCCGGGATAAAAAAATTAAAGAAAAAAAAAATTAAAAAAAAGAAACTGGGCCTCCGCTGCTGTGGCTTTTCATGAAAACGTCGTTTTTCAGAGACTGGGACGTCCTGGTTCAAAAGCCGAATGTATGTACAGCACAGGGGGGCTTGGAAAAAGAAATGAGTGGGAAAACCCAAGCTGTTTCTAGCAGCATAATCAGGTTAGTTTTATTAAAAAAAAAAAGTGGCTTAAACCATCGTTCATTGGGGACAACAGGGAAACAGTGATGACTGAACTTTAAAACGGCTTTACCGTCTCTTTGATTAAAACCTCTCCCACAGCTACTTGTTGTACTGCTTGAACATTTATGACCTAAATAAAGAGATGTAGTTTTTTTTTTAAAAGGTGTTAATTCATTACATTACTAATGTATTGAAAAAATATGGTCAGGAACAGCCAGATATATATATAGTAGAAATAGCCATTTATAGAAAATGCCTTATAAAGTACATGGCAGGTACACTGTACTCCTAATAAAAATATTTTTTAATCAAGTGTTTTTCTTTGCCTTTTACGTGAAAACAAGTCGCAGTTTCTGTGGCAAACGCTGTTATTTCAGGAAGCAGCGCGTTCCGACACAGGCACAGCTGGCGCGGGGCGCTCAGCACCCCGAGAGCACAGCCGGGGGGAGTTGCTGCTGCGGCCAATGTGGGAGCAGCAGTATTTAAGGAGGCTGAAGGTAGGAATATTTTCCTCATTTGCCTTTATGGGAGTTTAAGCAGCTTGCTCCAGTTCACTGGGTTTTTTTTGTTTTTTTTTTATTCCCTACTTAGTTTTATGTATTCCTAGAATCCGTAAGATGGAAAATATTAACTGGGAGAACGTTTTGCCCTCTGCTGTTCTATGCTCTATTGACTTTGTTACAGCCCCTGATCTGCTTTTTCTTGGCTCAGAATCGAGCCTCTAGAACTGCACTCCCAGGTTTTTCTGGGTGGCAAAAGAACCTGTGGAAAGTTGTTCCTTTTTAGGAGTTCTTTTTTAAAAATACCTATTTATTTCACTTAAATTTTCAAGTACTGAACCAATTCTCCCCTTGCCCTTGTTAAGGTGACATGGGTAAGGGGCTCCAAGCTTCCATGGCTCCGTCGCCACTCGTTTGGTAGAAGGGTTATGTGGCAGGCAGTAACAGCGGACAGCGCAGAGCCATCGCCCGCTGCGCAACCTCGGCAAAAGCCGTCCGCGTTCACGACATTTCTCCCTTTGCACACCTAAAATTGGTCCCTTCTCCTACAAACCCGAGCACCAATCTTTACCTCGGTACCTGTACACCCAGCATGTGCGCTTGTCCCACCGCAGTTTTCTCGCACAGTACTACCAAAATTCTAAAATCAAGATCAGGCAAGTAATAGATTCAGGGTTTTTATTAGTTTTCCAGGTGAGCATTACAATTTATAATACATCCTATCTAGTTTTACCTCCAGAATGACTCTAATTTAGTACATCATCGTATTAGTAAAAACGAGGCCGATAGGTGGGCTAAGCTTCCAACTAGCATCTTCGTATCCTTCAACCAAGGCAAGCGAGAATTTCGATCACTTTACAGACATGTAGGTAGTGTTTCCCAAAACCAACCCAGCCCCAAATTACACTAGGAAGCGGATACAATTCAAAGCAGGAAAGACTCATTGGGTCGTTCCCTCCCCCCCCGCAGAGTTTAATCAACAGCTATAGTTTCACCTCGTTCCAGTTTTGGAATCTCAATTAAAAATCCGGGAGTCTGTCAGGGCGGCAGCGCCTCTTACCGGTAGCCGGGTCCCGGCTGGGTGTAGCCCTGGGGGCCGAAGGGGGGCCGGCTGCGGGCATAGGGGTTGGGCCCGCTGGGCGGGGGGGTCATGGTGCTGCCGGGTGGGGGGGTGAAGCCAGGCCGTGGCTGGTAGGTGCCGGCCAC